TACTGTCTCGTACTTCTCAAGAGTAAATCGCTGCAAATTTGAAACCTTGAGTACGTGACGCAGCTTGATCGACTGACAACGGGGTTCTTGTCCCCGTATCCAAGTAGTAGAACAGGTCGAGCCCTTCGACTCGGAATTGAGCGTCTCCTAACTTCGAAGTCAGTCACCAAGCTTTAGGTCGTACTGTTCGCACAAGCTAGCCCAGAGACTGGGTTATGCTTCAGGTGTTAGACCGTTAATAGGCGTTGATGCCAGATGGATACTGGTCATAAGATAAGACCGAAGATGTAGTTGGCCACATGGGAGACTGGACCATCAGTCGTGGACGTAACTTCATGAATCTTTTCACGCCATGATTCCATTGCGAAGTTTAAGAAGACAGAACACGACTCTCCCAATCGCTCAAGCCATTTGTAAGGTACACTCCACGATCATTAAAACCGACACTAAACTCGCTTGCGATGGGCAATCTGACTATAGTAAAGTGAGGAAGCCGGTAGTAGGTAACATCCATACCTGGTATTCGTGCTAGGATTACATGCATTACATGCCTGCTGGGTCAAATGCCAGCGCTTGATCCAGTGAATGCGAAGTAAAGATGAGGCTAGGATCTTCGGCCAGGTTGCCGTCTGTAGAACTTCATATGAATTGTCATGGGGGCGCACGCCCTTCTCCGTAACCGGTGATATTACGGATCATGTCATGCTGAAGGAGATAACTTAACCGACAAGATGCTACGAGGGCACACAGTACTAGCGCCTATTCGCATGCAGGACGTACTACACGCACCTGAGACACAGCCAAATAAGAGCCCGTGGCTCATGCAATAACTGTTCAAATTGGACGCCATATTCGAATACATTCAAGTTCATGAATGTCTCAAGATATGTATCGCATCTGTCCAAAAAGATTATGGCCTCATTGATAAATGCTGAGCACAGGCCCTCAATCTGATGACACTCAGGCTGGGATACGAACTCGGTGATAATCCAGCGCACGTTCAGATCCAGAGTCGGCGGCCCATCGGCGAGTCCCATGACCCTAATCAGAAAATTAACTGAGCTCAAGTGCTTGTTACAAATGTGGATCATGAGCTTACACGGACACGAATAATATCGCATACTCTGTTACGTATCGTTCTGAGATTCAGGGGTGACGTGGAGATTGAGGTTCACTCTAATCCTGGACATCCGAGTCTGTACCCATTGAACAACACATGATATAGCTAACGTCACATTAGTAACAGATGGACAAGAATGATCATGCAATGATTCAGAGGTATCTCCCAGTGCTCACGGCTGACAGACTTTCTCGAGGAAACATACAGGTAAATAGCCCCCATTCAGCCGAGCTCGAGGCTCCACCAATCCAGCAATAACCTATAAGCGTAATTCGGGTCCACAACTGCGCCGGATATTTCTGGTAGTAAAAGATGGGTGAAATGACTCGAAGGGATTCCAGAACAAGAAGTCCGCCGATATTGACACAGCAGCATCTGGATGACACTGACCGGTACTAAGTCCTGTCTACTCCCCAAGTCCAGGTGGCATTAAATGAGGGAGTCCATGAATTAGGGTAAGCAGCGTTGTTGAATGTCACGGCGTTGTTTGGATTAGCCATCCTGCAAAGAGCTGAGACTTAAACATTTAGCCAGGTAGTAGACCGGTCGCCGAGCTATGGGGCCGGAACTTCACAGAAGAAAAACCTGCCACCGACTAAGTGAATGAATAAATTTGTTAACTGAAGTCGCACCACCAAACTAGACTGGTGACCAGCCCGTCTCACCAGTCTACCACCGAACGACAAACGGACGATCGAACTTACTAGTACATTTGGGCCTTCCAAAAGGGTTCGAGTTAATGTCCTGCCGGCATCAGCCATTGGCCGTGGATATAAGACTGTTGAACCTTTGAGGATGACATCATTCAATGAAGGGTAGAAGAGATAAGAGGATGAAGAAGTTTCAACTTGATGCCCGGTGTCGACTCCCACGCTGACCGTCATCATGACGATTTTGTAAAATTTTCCATCTCGAGTTTAACAGACAAAATTTCTCAAATCTGTCGCAGACCCAGGCCTTTGCATAGAGTCTCTGACTCCAAATCAGCTGGCAGGTGCGGTGTTGCATTCAGTGTAAGCAATAGGATTGACGCTCTCCGAGTCCAAGATCTACATAACTTAACAATGTAACAGCTTGATCATTGAATACATCCGGCAGCCAACTGGTTTGGAGCCTCGTCCTTGCTAAACCTTGTCTTGATTTTTGAACATAGCTTTAGGCAGGCCCATGCTGCGAGTGATCTTTCCAGGGCACTTCAACCACCAAACATTTCTCCACCACTAGTATATCCATATTGAACTCCTCTATCGGTCTTGCCTAGGGTTTCTTTGCCATACACCCAATAGCCTCCTTGTCCCCCTGGCCCCGGTTCTCATGATCACAGGTACCCGTGACATTTGCAAATTGCACCTTCGGCTGGGTTATCCTATTAATGAAGACCAATCAAAAGGCGGGCAAAGATTTTTAAATGTTCAAGAACACAGCGGCAGACCGGCTACTAGTAGCACAGGGCCTTCACCTCGCCGTGATTTATTTTATATTTAGTGTCCAAAAGATTTTCACGGCAAGTCGGTTGCATAGCAGTCTAGCTGGGTGGTACATAAGCCAGTGAACGCCGTGCTTCCAAGCAGGATAGCTCCACCCCGGATCATGGTGACAGTCAGCCCGGAAGCCTGACCAGTAACAGTGTATTGGCACACATGATGTTCTTATGGGGCAACGCTCTTCCTCGGGTAAAAAAGATAGGGCATGCGGCGGGGAATCACAACACAATCATCAGGCATTTACAGAACCCCGGAGCCCCTTTCGCCTCAAGGATCATTCAGTTTTTGTACTGCATAGTTGATTTGTCAACAAGACTTCACCACGCCTGTGATTACAAAAATCCGCGGATAACAAGCGGAGGACTATACGCACACGCCGCGGCAGGGTGCTCAATCATAAAATTTACCGCTGATTTGGACATTCCACCCTCCGATCTAGGTGAGAATGCATGTAGACCCTTGTTTCCAGATTTCGCAGATCCGAAGGACAGGCGTTTCCTGGCCCAGCGTTACGAATCAAAGCACTCGCCTCGCTTTGCTAATTACCAGCTGGCTGTCATGCGGCCCAGATCAGTACAGATCTCACGTTGACCATCACTTTGCACACGCCTGTTGTTAATTGCTGTAGCGTTGCTATTAGCGTCGGCATGGCTTCTTCGGATCCCAATATTTGTCTGAATACGCTGGATAAATGGAGTGGGGTTCCGTTAGAGGGAGCGCGGGTGGCTTGACGCGGCATTTGAAAGGTGTGACATATAGCTGGCACGGATGGAAAACGCGGGCGATGTGTGTAAATTGTGCTTTGAGGAATGGAAACGAGTTTGTCGCATCCTCCGCGGTAAGTTGCATCTAGGGTTGGTCTATGATACAGGTATCTCTAACGGTATGCTATGAGTCACTAAATGGTATGAATTGCTCTATGCCTTGGATGGGGGAGGCGGCATGCCCTCGCTGAGGAGTACGGGAGTTGATCTAGCAGGTTCGGGGTCGCCCATCATTTGTTGAACAGCTTTGCTCTTGAGTAGGTGGGCATATTTGGGTTGAACGAAAGTTGCGCTGGACAATACAGGAAGGGGTAAGAAGAGTTAGGTTCGAAAGATCGGTGACTGACTGCGCTTCGACCAGTACGTTGCCTTTAAGGTCCTCTACTTTGCCAGCGACCTTGGATTTGCGACCTGCCTTGTCGACTAAACTGATCCGGACGACGATGAACTAGTGCCCGGTCAAGCACGTAAGTATGTGTAAGGAAGAGGTACTTGCCTGATCCGCAAAGGTCGGGGCGCGATAATTTATGGACAAGTTGGCAGTGACGCCAATCTTTTCCGGTAAATTGATAATCGCCTTTTACAATAGATCAAGACACGCTGAATGCTCGGAATAATTAACCCACAGTTCGCGCCAAACTCTCATCCAAAATAGTAGCCAGTAGCCCACCGTGAATTATCCCATCATGGCCACACACACCCCGGCCTACATGCACGATAACGAGAGCCTCACTCTCATCCTTCCTAGCGCGTACGAGAGGTGGAAGCGCGAGTTTTCCGGGGCCACGAAGTGCGCCTGCAGTGAGGCTGTTTACGCGGAGCTGCTCTGGGTAATTAGCATAAGGGCGGCTCTCGTACCACTCGTGGGCGTCGGGCTGAGCACGGTGGGACGTGAGGAGTGGGAGCGTCTGTAGTGTTTGTTCGAGAGTCGCGGTGTATATAATTGATTGTGGGGAATCAGGGTTGGGGGGCGCTGGGGCTGGCCGGGGGAAGATGAATGTGATGTAAGGATGCGGGTAGAAGGCGCCAAGGGTGTAGCCGGTGATGGCAACGGAACCGCCAAGGGTTAGTGTTCGGAAATAGCGGTATGGCGAACGGGCAGTGGGAGGGGGTCCGGTCGAGAAAACTCGTGCATTTGTGAGGATGCGTCTCAAAATATTAGAAGACATTATATGCCGAACCCATTAATGATTAGTGACTGGCGATTGCTCAGTCAGTGTCGGGTGTTGCCGAAGCGGAGTGTAAACATAACTTTGACATACAGAGATCGACCATCGACGACTTTAACCTCAAGACCTACCCCCTCAAGACCGTTAAAAATGGTGAGTTACCAGCAAGCGTCGTTCTCTGTGTGCGTCGGAGCACCCTAGCACTATTCAGTCCATACTCTTCAACCTTCAACACAATGGATGGCAAGTCCTTCATCCAGATAACACCATAGGATATCATCCTTATATTCATCTAGAATTGGTTCAGCGCAAATCTTGATCTTTGTTATCAAGTCAAGTGGAGTCGTCGTGTACGATGATGATACTTTTTATTGCTGGACTCGTTGGATGCACAGTCATCCAGGAGTGCTAGAGCTCCGAGACATGCAGCTTACGTCGCAGGCACTTCTGTGCTCTGCTTCGCATGCTGATTCGTTCTCGTCTCAATGACCAGCCCCCCAAAGTCAAGGCCGGTTCCCGCAAGAAGCCCGCACCCGCACCAGGTGCTGCTGGCAAAGCTGCAAAAATCACAAAAAATCCTCTCTTCGAGGCAAAGCCGAAGAACTTTGGCATTGGTTCGCTTCATCTTTGTTTCGCCAAATTGTCAACTGATGGATTTTTTTAGGCCAACATATTCGTCCTAAGACCGATCTCACTCGCTTTGTCAAATGGCCCGAGTACATCCGCCTTCAACGCCAGAAGGTCATTCTTTCTCAACGCTTGAAAGTTCCTCCTGCTATTGCCCAGTTCTCCCACACTCTGGACAAGAACACTGCTACACAGCTTTTCAAGCTCCTCAACAAGTACCGCCCGGAGAGCAAGGTCGAGAAGAAGGAACGTCTCGAGGCTCTAGCCAAAGCTGCCGCTGAGGAAAAGGAGCCTGCCAAGGTTTGTATTTGACGTATTGTAAATTGCAAGTTATTGATATAGATCATCTACAGGATAAGAAACCTCTTTTCGTCAAATACGGTTTGAACCACTGCGTCGCCCTCATCGAGGCGAAGAAGGCGTCCCTTGTAATCATTGCTCACGACGTCGACCCCATTGAGTTGGTTGTCTTCCTTCCCGCTCTTTGTCGCAAAATGGGTGTCCCCTACGTCATCGTCAAGGGCAAAGCCCGTCTGGGCACCGTGGTTCACAAGAAGACCGCCGCCATTCTTACTCTCCAAGATGTCAAGAGCGAAGACCAGCGCGAGCTTGCAACCCTCGTCAGCGCCGCCAAAGCCAATTTGTGAGTTCTCCCTTTTCATGTTGTATCTACGCTTCAGTGCTAATGGGAATTTAAAGCACTGACAAGTACGAAGATCAGCGCCGCCACTGGGGTGGTGGTCTCCGTGGATACAAGTCTACTCAAATGATGCGCAAGCGCGCAAAAGCTGCTGGTCTGGACTCCAAATCGGCTGCTCTTGGCAAGCTGTAAGCTTTGTGCTAGTCCTTGTCGTTTATCGTCATCACTTTATATGTCATGCCTGTTATGAATATGGTATGCATCGTACGCTCGGTTATCCCAAGTTACTACTGTGTGGAGGGCATATCGTGCCAGGCCGTGTACTATGATGCATGTTGCGCCATCAGCTATAACACGATTGCAGTTGTTTGAAAGTCTACTTTGAAATTCCGCAAAACCAATCTGAAACCGAGATAGCATATGGGGCTAGCTAGTGAGTGACAGTGCCTGAGCGTGAATGGATCGAACCGGGACCAGGGAATGAGTGTGAGAAATGCGTAGTCTAGACAAAACTCCTGGTGAGTGTAAAGGAAATTTTAGTCCCCTCATCCCCATTTGCTCCACTGAAAGCATAATAAACATTGCCTACAAACATGCGATGATCCTGTTATGAATCCACATCTGGAACCTCCTCCACCCGTGCCGAGCGACTCCCTGGACGCGATTGCTCTGGGGACTCGTCACCAACCTCCTCGATAAAAGCCCCACCATTATTAGCAAGCTGCTCCTCAGGACTCGCACCAGCGGGAGCCTTTGCCTTCTTCTTCTTCCCAGCTTTCTTCTTTGGAACATCCCACTCCCACAACGGAACAAATGACTCGATCTACGCCAAATGCCTAAGAACCAAGAATACAAAAAACAAAGAACATCACAACTCACAACACCAACGTCTGCGAATAATTGAGGGAAGATCCAAATTCCAGGGCTTGCTATGACCACGGTGATTATGTAGAATATCAACCGTATGATTGCGAGTCCAAAGAATGCGCCGAGTAAACCCAGCATGGCAATGCTCAGGTACCACACACCCAAACGCATCACTGGGGGCCACAACGGGAACATTACGGCTGCAAGCATAAGCGCGACCATCAAAAGTCCGCCAGCATATGTAGTCCATTGAGAACCTTCGTAGAGCCACACGAAGTACGCGTCTTGGGCAAATTGTTGTTGCGGAACGACAGTGACGTGGCGCGGAGATATGGATGAGCCTGTGGGTGCGCCGCGGTCTACGCGGAGGTAAAAAGCGTATTGTATGGATGATTGGAGGAGGGCCTCAGCCTCGACTTCCGTAGTGACCTTGGGTACGTTTTTTACTTTTGCATACGCGGGCGAGAGGAGGGCTTTCACTGCGGATTTGCCTGGTAGTGGTGGTGATGACGGTCATGGTTAGAACAATGGCAGAAAAAATTTGACTCCAAAACGATCAGATACCTTTGAAATAATCGACGCGTTTCCCATTCAACGCACCAACACGTATTTTCATGCCAGATTTACTGCTGCGGAGGAATTGGACAACATTGCGGGTTTCTGGAGGCGCTTTAGCTTGCGTATCATCCTTCGAAGCCATTTGCGATGGATGACAACTAAGAAATTAATCTGGTGGTGACTATGATGTTTGGGATTGAGGGAGGCGCTGCCACGAATAAGTGAAGTCACGCCTAACAAAGGGACAGGTGTGCTTATGTCAGCATAAAAGTCAAGTTGACGCTTAAAAAGACTCAACATCAACTCAACGTTCTTAAAGACTTCCGTCGTCAGCTCTTCTGGGTTTGTCCCATTTACTTTCAATTCGAAAGATACAGCCTGATACAGCACATTGACATCCCCGCAGCGGTTCAATCTCCCGGTATCAATACATCGACCGGAGACCGACGCGTGCAGCATTAATCTACTAGTCACTTACAGTGCGGTGTGCTATGGTGACGCTACTAGTAGTAGTAGTCGTAGGATTTCATAACCAAAGTTTACCATAGCATCGTCACCTGTGAGAGCTTCTTGGCCTCCGAAGTCGTATCTTCCTCTGTATCTGCGCTCTTATGAATACCCCTTTTCTTGGACTCGGAAGCTCAGCCTCAGTTTTGTCTGTGATATCCATATCGCAACAGTATGGGTTAATAATCGCAATGCGGCATGGCTGAATTCCACAGGTATAATATACTTTAATGGGCGGCCAGATTGTTCACCGAGGTAAGTCCCCTCTAAATACCCCCACTTCGTGCAGTGATTTTGATAAGGTTCGATGGTAGCTGCGTTGCATCCCAGAATACCATCGAATTGCAAGTGGCCAAGTCGTCTTATGTCAGATAGCAGAAATTGATTGCACGTAGCCTTACCACTGGCATAGCAGCACAAACGCCATGATGCTTATCGTTTGTGATCTTTCTAGCAGCGTTATACTTTCATCGAACGACCCCAGATATTTCCAGGCATTACAAAATGGAAACAGATGCTTACAGAAGTGTATCTTCTTTCAAGTCTACAGGAACGAGGGTGTTCTTCATAAGGTAAATTCTCATATCCACACATTATAGATGGTCATGCCTAGACAATCAGATCTTCACCTGGCCAGAACAGATTACGAGGCTTCTACACATCTCAGGCTAATTAGATTGGGTGTCAGTTCGTCGTCGCATCACCATATATCTCCTGCATCAACACTGCCTCCAACTTGACCACCCCTTTCGGAATACTTCATTCTAGACTTTGCTAGCGCATGTTTCAGTAAGTCTAGCTAAAATTGACAGAATGTCGGCGCTATGGTCCACCGGTTGTTATGTAGCACAGCTCTGGCCAAGGCTGTACACGGGCATCAAATCGAGTTGAAGACTGGCGCGCTGAATACCACTACGATCCTCCGTCATGGTATCTTCGTCAAGACAAGGGTGCCACCCCCAGGTGACCTACAGTTTTTTTTTTACTTCAGAGTGGGGTCCTTTGGGGTCGTAGACCCTACGTTGGACATAATCTCGTCATAAGCTTTCTTTTGTATGTGGTGGGGGAAATATACTTGGACGGTGTGATTCGAACTCGTACTACGTCACATGAAGTGAACAGGTACAAAAGGATGATTGCGGAAAGAGAGTGTGTCAGTATAAAGATAGTTAGGCGCAGCGCTCGAGCTACTATGTGAACTGCTGATGTTCGTCTGATGTTAGTTGCTGCTGCTTTCATTAGTATGTATCATCTGTATGTGGTTACTGATTTGGTCTCTTTGTTTCTAGCTGACAGCGGCGCCACGGAATGTGGCGTCTTTCCGGTGACCTACAGTTCTGTACAGTTCCCCGCCCGAGTGATCTAAACATGATTGCATGATCATTACCGGTTATAGCTTCGTTACCATTAATGCGATAAATGTCAAACTGTTCTCTCAGGGATACTACGAAAGACACCTGATCAGATCACACCAGAATCATATTTAATGGCCTAGTCTAGACTCTAGCAATGGCGAGGAAGCAAGAAAAACACGTGCTCAAAGTCTGGTCACAGACCAGAACAACAGCGGATAACGTTCATCGCCTCCCACACCTTCGGATACCTCCCTGAACTGTGCATCCACCTTGACAGTCCCTTTCTCGAGTACTTCCCCATCCCACATAGAAGTCCAGCTCTCGACGCTGTGGGCGAACATGTCAACCTCGATACCCCAATATACTTGATTCACGACACCCTTCTGTTGAGCACCCGTGTGCGCTCCGAGAATGATGGAGCCTGGTTCAGCGGAGAGAAGGCCAGCAAAAGCACGTGCCATGTGCAGTTGTTGATCTTCTTTAAACAGGTGGAAGAAGGCTGTTGCGTGGATTGCGGAAACACATCCGCGTAACGAATTCAACGAAGTGAGGTTATTGAGGTCGGGAGTTGAAACTTCTGTTGTCTGTAGCGACGCAGGCGGAGCCACAGCGAGGATTTCTGGGTCAAAAGCGTCCCCGCCCACGAAGTGAGCTGGAAAAGTCTCTGGAGACGACTTGAAGAGTTCATGCCCCAGATCCCAGAGTTCTGAAATACTTCGTTCAAAGTTATGTACGAAGTTATATGCTATGCTCACCTTGATGGAGGTCAGTTCCAATCGTTTGAGCTGCAGGAAAACCATCAAGAATTACTTCCCTGATGACATTTCCAACTACAAACCATATATCATGATTAGCATCCTACGTAGAAGATGGAGGTACATACAGCAGCAGCCGACGTCAAGGAAAATTGGGTTCTTGTGTTCACGTCCGATGCGCACAACTTGGTGATAAGCAGGTAGCCCCGACATCCTGCGTCTAAAGGGTTCGATTTTATGTGTTAACTCAGCACAAACGTACAAACAAAATACCTGGTAAAAGAGAAAAGATAGATGCACACGTAAGGAGCAACCTACCCACGAACAACTAAGTTTCGATACGGCAGGACATGTCCAAAGGTCTAGATACCTTGTATGCCTTTGCTTGAACATCCAATATATGCTGCTTCAGAGTTGCATCGTCTTCGATTCCGGTCAGATCCTTGTAAAATGCAGCGTCTTGAGGGCGCAAGTTATAAAGGCTTTCGTCAAGAGAAGGGAAAGTGCGCTGAACCTCAATCTTTGGAGGCTCTCTATTCGTCATGTCGCGTTCCTTGTCGGCACCAGGATCCAAATAGCTGGAGGGTTATCCGACGACGTGACTGTACTTAAAGCCCAGAAAGTTGACTGCGCAATATTAGTTTAAAACCCGGACTTACTTGCTGTGTATAGAGCAATCAAGTACCAAACGCACTATTAGTCAATAACACTACACGAAGAGCTAACATTTAATCAGCCTCCTGCTCACTGGGACTCTTAGGAAGAGCATACACAGCGTAGCGCCCGCGATCTCCACTATTGCGATAAGGGAACAGGTCCTTGACAGCCTATCAGCAATCTCCTTCAAGTTAGTAACCCACGAATTTATAAATGAAATGATTTCGCTGATCCGCTCTACCCGCATCCTGGCCCAGCAGCGCGCTTGTGCACTAGTGATATTAGAAGGCCAAGTATCGTGTTCTGTCTTCGATTGAAATTCGTAACACTCACTACCTCACTAGCAGGTAAGAAACTGAAATTAGCAAGGCCAGCGGATGACGACTCACTATGTTGACTATCAATTTTCCGTTGGTGGACGTATACACGAACGATACGATGGTCGCCAGGTGTCAGGGATTAGACCGTCCTCTTGCCCGGTAACACTAAAAAAGTCAGACTATTTGATAGCGCCTGGCTTGAAGGGCGTCTGAAAATTCTATATCACAATCTGGTCACAGACTAGAACGAGGTTAGGTAAGGTTCCCGCACTAACAGGCATTTGTGAGCGGGGAGAAAGCCAGCGAGACGGGCTATATCATCAACTAGTCTTGAGACAGGTGAAAGAAGACTGTTGGGTGAATTTCGGAAATACATTTACGTACGAGATTCAATGAAGTGAGACTATCAGACTTGCTGATAAGCAACTTGAAGTAGCGCTGACAGCCTATGTTTAGGAAATTCAACGAGTGGCGTTGGGTCGCCTGTGTAATCTCAGGCTAGTGAAAATGAAAAGATAAATCCGTCCCTAAGGAGCAGCCTAACGGTCAAGACGTCAGAGGCACAGCCCTTGGCGTGGCATGCTCACCTAGCACCCGGATTTTCTCGTTTGGGCGTCATCGTAGTCTATGTTGGATTGACCGCGCTTGCCATGTACATTTGGGACAAAAACAGTAAACTCTACAAGTTCAACCCGTCCCCGCTCACCATATCAACACAGACGTTCATACCCAGCTTACCATTCCGGGTATAAGTGGAAATGTGAGTGGACTAGATCGGGGTGTCGATGTGCAGGGGTAGATTCTAGTCTTTGTCGATGTAGCGGTTGTCCAGGGACCGTTGTCACTTGGGCTGCCTTGCTCGGAGTCGGAGCCTCAACTTCGTTCAAGATGAAAGACAGTGACTTGTGATCAGATCTGCCTGTATCTTCACGGCAAACGACGGCATCAGAGATCTCCGACATAGTGAGCGGCACCAATTCCCTGACCAGCCTGAGGACCTTCGTGAACCTTGCAGCTTCCTTGCTGTAAATGTAGGAAATGCTCCAGGCTGGTATAGGCATAGTGACTATCTGTAACAATAACATGTAGAGTGGAATAGCTAGTAGCTATATTTGATGTATGGAGCTGAATACAATCTACAAACGCGAACAGTAGTCACTGAATGTGCAAAGAGACGGCGTGGTTATCACTGGAAAATCATCGAGTTCGTTCCTGAGAAGACCTAGATGAAAGGGCTTGCCACTTGCTGGCGGCATCCATCCAAAATATGTAGAATATGCTAAGACTTACCTCCCATCGCTCTATACGCTCTACGCTTTTAAAAACAGCAGCATGTGCTCGATTTCCCGTCCTTCCTCCAAATGGAGGTACAAAGCTCATTTTTTTCGGTCAGGACTGATCCTCTGGTTGGCCATAGCGAGGTCTGAGTAGGAAATAGGTGCGAGATGGTGTGTTTGAAGCCGTTCAGAGGCCTACAAAACTCGAAAATGATTTATGTAAATGAATTTTCAGCATCTTCACTATTTTTGAATTGCCACAAACACGTGAGTCAAGACCTTCGGAAATGAGTGTAAGTTCATCATGTAAGTATATCTGCACTGTAACCATATTATTTACCAAACCAACGTGCTAGTACTTAGCACTCAGTACTGTTGTGACTACACTATCTTCAAAAATCAACCGCGATGGCCGCAATTGGGGGTGGCCAATGTAGACTAGTTCGACGTCTCAACTCTCGACCAGCGTGGCGCCAAGTCATTACCCGTCCAGTGGCATGTAGGGGTTTCTCTTCAACTGCACCACCACATAGTACAGTCGGCGGGGTACGCGTTTCCAAACTTTTCACAGCGCTACTCGCGCTTGGGATCGGAGCGACTGGTCTTGGACTGTGAGTCTTGCCTTCGAACTTTTCATTCAACCATAATAATCTTCAAGTTACTCTTCAAAGATACGAGTTCTACACATCCTTTACCCTTTGGCCAGAGCAGGTTCGCGGAGACCTCCGCGCAGGAATAAAAGCGAGGAACCAAGGAGATTTATCGCTGAGCGAGAGATACATTACCCGGTCTGTATTGTGGTACTCCTTTATTTATGGAGTTCTGACCATTGATTTTAGCGCATTCCAAACAGCACTGTCTCTTCCTTATCAGACATTCGCGCCATGTCCGTATCTAAAGCTATCAGGCATAGCCTCCCTCCTTTCCGAAGTCGCCTCAGACCGTCACTCTCGAGAGGCCCTGCAGATTGCTTGGGAGCTAGGTGCCGGTCCGAGCGAACAACATTCTCCCTCGCCAGATGCCGAGAAGACGCCAAGTGCTGTGGTAGAAGGAGCACCTGGATGGTCATGCTACACCTTGTGCAAAGAGGAACGCCTTCGACGCGTAGCTCTTGCGTATAAATTGGGCCAAATGGCAAGTGAACGGGACCTGGATGAGGAGGAGAAATGGCTCATATGGGCTGTAGAGGAAGTTTTGAGGCTATCTGGACTTGGGATGACAAACGCCAACTCGGATGCGAACATAAAAGCGCAAGAAAATACAGGGTCTAGTGCACTAGAAGATCTCGAACTTCCATCTTGGATGTCAAAGACAGACCTTGGTGCTCCACTGGAGGCCCTTGGTGCCCTTTATGCAAAGAAAGGTAGAATCGAGTGAGTAGCACTCATCCAGTTAGCAATGTTGATCTCCTTCTCATGTTGACATCAGCCTTTCATTCAAGCTGACGCTCTGCCAACAGATATGCGATGCCACTGTACCTTCAGGCGATATCCTTACTCTTGCCACCCAAAGAAAATAACGTATCCGTTGAAGACCGATGTCGAGGTGAGCAAGAGCACTGCGGTTTCACTTTCTCTCATGCACAGACCACCAACAAGCCGCTCAACTCATGAATAATCTTTCTGAATTGATAATGCGCCGTACTCCCACACCAGAAGTACGTGCGCAAGCTGAGGCGTGGGCACGTCAAGCGTTGGGAATCATTGAGCGAGCACAAGCGCAGCCAAAAAGCTCACAATGGTTCGGATGGGGACAGCCCGCTGATGATGCAAGGGAGGTTTGTGAGCAGGCGCTCGGCGTGGTGCTCTTCAATTTGGGGAGCTTGAGAGAAGTAAATCTTTATTGAGTCATTTAAAATGCTTATTTATGATCCCTGCAGATGTCATCCGACTTGGATGGTGCAAAGAAGTTGTTCGAGAAGAGCGCCGAGCAATGTAGCAAGATGGGCATCAGGGAGGGCGTTGTTGAAGCCCAGGGAGCATTACGGAGGGTTGAGAAAATGAAGAAGGTGGGTTGATGTAAGTACCTGTGCTACGTTTCCATTAGGAAGAGGTTTGCATGGATATGGTCAGATCTTAGTAGACATTGCCACCAAATTTACACGCGCTGGAGCATAGGGGGTGATGAAGAAAGAATTTAACTGGGTCCGGACTAGCTTCGAAACGTTACCGCACCTTACACGCTCAAGCTCAACTCTTCTCGACTGAAGCATACTCCATAGCAATACTGGAAGGTCACTCACACCACAATGTTGTAATCGATCACACTACGCATACCCGGCAAGCAGTTTTGGATGCTGCGCAGCTAACCTTTCTAGGATCAGAATACTCAATACAGCCACGTTTGAGCCACGTCGTTAAATAAACCCATCTTAGTGTCGCGAACAAACACGAGATGACTTGGACGGACAAATCACAAAGATCAGGGCTCGCCGCTTTGCCCTTTCCTCAATGAAAGTCTTTATGGCTTGCATCCCCAAGCTGCAATTTCCAAGAAGCTCACTGGAATCTAGGGCGATGCTGCTCTGAAGTATAGAGTGAGTGTTTCGAATTTTAATCAAAGACAGAACACGATATTTGACCTTTCAACATCACTGGTGCACAAGCGCGCTGCTGGGTCAGAATCCGGGTAGAGCGAATCAACGAAAGCATTCGTGGGTTACTAACTTAAAGGAGATTGCGGATAGGCTGCCAAGGACCCGTTCCCTTATCGCAATAGCGGAGATCGCGGGCGCTACGCTGCGTGCGCTCTTCGTGCAGTGACATGACTACTAGTGCGTTTGGTAATTGATTACTCTATACCCAAGTCCGGGTTTTAAACTAATATTGCGCAGTCAACTTTCTGAGCTTTAAGTACAGTCACGTCGTCGAATAATCCTCCAGCTACTTGGGTCCTGGTGCCGACAAGGAACGCGACATGACGAATAGAGAGCCTCCAAAGATTGAGATTCAGCGCACTTTCCCTTCTCTTGACGGAAGCCTTTATAACTTGCGCCCTCAAGACGCTGCATTTCACAAGGATCTGACAGGAATCGAAGACGATGCAACTCTGAAGCAGCATATATTGGATGTTCAAGCAAAGGCATACAAGGTATCTAGACCCATGGACACGTCGTCCTGCCGTAGCGAAACTTAATTGTTCATGACTAGGTTGCTCCTTACGTGTGCATCTATCTTTTCTCTTTTACCAGGTATCTTGTTTGTATGTTTGTGCTGAGTAAACACACAAAAATCGAGCCCTTTAGACGCAGGATGTCGGGGCTACCTGCTTATCACCAAGTTGTGCGCATCGGACGTGAACACAAGAACCCAATTTTCCTTGACGTCGGCTGTTGCTGTATGTGCCCCCTCCATCTTCTACGTAGGATGCTAATCATGATATATGGTTTGTAGTTGGAAATGTCATCAGGGAAGTAATTCTTGATGGTTTTCCTGCAGCTCAAACGATTGGAACTGATCTCCATCAAGGTGAGCATAGCATATGACCTCGTACATAACTTTGAACGAAGTATTTCAGAACTCTGGGATCTGGGACATGAACTCTTCAAGTCGTCTCCAGAGACTTTTCCAGCTCACTTCGTGGGCGGGGACGCTTTTGACCCAGAAATCCTCGCTGTGGCTCCGCCTGCGTCGCTACAGACAACAGAAGTTTCAACTCCCGACCTCAATAACCTCACTTCGTTGAATTCGTTACGCGGATGTGTTTCCGCAATTCACGCAACAGCCTTCTTCCACCTGTTTAAAGAAGATCAACAACTGCGCATGGCACGTGCTTTTGCTGGCCTTCTCTCCGCTGAACCAGGCTCCATCATTCTCGGAGCGCACGCGGGTGCTCAACAGAAGGGTGTCGTGAATCAAGTATATTGGGGTATCGAGGTTGACATGTTCGCCCACAGCGTCGAGAGCTGGACTTCTATGTGGGATGGGGAAGTATTCGAGAAAGGGACGGTCAAGGTGGATGCACACTTAAGGGAGGTATCCGAAGATATGGGAGGCGATGAACGTTATCCGGTGTTGCTCTGGTCTGTGACCAGACTGTGAGCATGTGTTTTTTACTTCCTCGCCATTGCTAGAGTCTAGACTAGGCTATTGAATACAATTCGGGTGTGATCTGATCAAGTGTCTCAAGTAGCATCCTTGAGAGAACAGCTTGACATTGACCACATTGTAACGAAGCCATAACCGGTGATGATCATGCAAGCATGTCTAGATCACTCGGGCGGAAAACTGTACATAACTGTACTAGGCCACCATGGCCAGAGCTGTGATCCTGTAGCGAACACAACAACCGGTGGACCGTAGCGCTAACATTCTGTCAATTTTAGCCAGACTTACTAGATCGTAACGCCGCGTACGCGCCAATTCCCGACGACTCCCGATCTATTTGGGGGGACAGTCCACCGCGAAGCTTTCAAATACGCATCCTGGCACCCAGTCACAGTATGTTTAGGAACGAGGACTGGCCATTGGTTCTGCCGTTCAATGGTCTGCTCGGCCGCAACTGACACGCGCGACTCTTTTTGTTCACGATGGATACGCTCGGACAGCGTCAACGGAAGTCAACGCTTGAACAACAGCGGACTCATATTCAAAGTCCAATATACAGGATTAATTCCGATGCACGCACTGGCAATATATTGGTGAACGGACTGTATGCAAGCCAGGTGTCCCATAAGACAGGAGAGCCCATGAGTTGCAGGTATAACACACGAGCGCGGATGTGGCAGACCAAGTCGTTGGAGGTTTTGAAATGCGAGCGACTGTACACCACAGGTCGATGGGGTAGAGGTGATCTGCGGATATAGTCATATAGGGAGGTAAGCAGGATATTATGTAGACAGCGAACAAGAAGGTCAAACAACAATGTCCAAGGCAGCACGCTATCGCCAACACAATTGTAGAGCGGTTGTGTTTGATGAGGGCCGTAAGTTCGTCAAGGAACCAATCAAGATAACGATGAACGAGCTCGAGAAGATACTGTCAGTCTTTGAAATTGAGAGTTCGTGGAGGGCCAAGATATTCACTTCTAGTAGGCTCGTCGTGGAGCTCCTTGATGCGATGAAAGGTACGACGCCGGGAGAATCCTACACAGTCCAGGATCTCACGGAGCCGAAATATGCCAGACGGGATAGCTGCAACTTTGAAGTCAACGGAGATTTTCCTATTGCCCATGAACGAAAATTCGTAGCAGTGTAAAGTCTCTTTCGGTGCCCAGGCGCCCGGCATTTCCGACTCCGGCGGTCCGTTGTATGATAGAATGACAGAATTGCCATAAATAGTATGTCATCCACGCATGACATCATAAGTTGCGCAACGCTTGGGACCTACCTACTTAAGACCTACCTGCCGCACTTTTGATCCTCACTTAATCCTTCATCATGCCCAGATACTGCAGGACGGCTACCTTCATGCTCCTGTCATTGATACTTGAGTCTGGTACCATTGATTCTATTGGGTCCTGTATTGTACTCGATGCCTGGTTTCTCTCGCGGTCAAGTTCACCTCCGAAAGTCACTATTCGGCCGACAGTTCACAAAGATTCTTGGAGACGTCGAGAAGCCTGATTCAAAGGTATGTGTGGGTATTACTACGTATTAGTAAATGTGTTTCATTCATTAGTACTGATCATGAAGCTAATCGTAAGGAAGTGACTAGGACCTAAGACTCCGACTTCGGAACCAGGTTTTTCCACTTACACATCGCCGTCCACTACGGGTTCATCCCCGGTGCTGGTACACTAATCCATCGTTCCACGGCCGGCACTGGTTCACTGTCCTGTACTAGTCCACCATCCCAGCGATCCCACCCATGACGCTGGTTCGTCTCATCCCTCCTTGTACTCATCATCTTCATCGTCCGGCGCTGGTTCATCATCCCAAGCTCACAAGTTCGTGTCATATTGATGCATCAAACACTGTGACTTACTAACTGCAATGCTCCCTCCATAGTATTTGCTCCAGTACCATTGGTAATTGCTAGAACGTTCGTCGCCTGGACCCTCGCCGTCTCGTCATGAATTAGTTGAACCTTGAAACTAGTACCAGTCAGCAGAGGCCACTTCAACGGTCATCTGTTTTGGCAGGCCTCAATATCGACATACTTACTCGCGTATTCGTGGAGTGTTCCTTCTCTTCTCGCTACTATCACGTGGTCTCGCCGCCAACACCCCTCGAGTCACTGTTCACCATTTAACTTTATGCCACAAACGACGTCGCTTGCATGACCCTTCGCGAGTTCGCATACACCACATTCCGCTTAAATCTAGAGAACGAGGTTCTTAGACACCAAAAGCTGGGCGCTAGGGAAGTTGCCGATAAGAGCGCAGCCCCGATCCTATCAAGACCAGCGGCATCGCAGAGAACAGCGAGCCCATTGAAAAGAAAGACGGACTACGACTATTAGCGATATTTCCAGCGACGATGCGAGAACGATTTGGCTTTCCGAATATTGGAGTGCGGCGCCCAGAGTTTAAACAGCTTTTCATCGACACGGCCCAAAAGCATGGCGTCGAGATCAAGACACACCTGTAATATTGATCGAAGGTAGTAAAGATCGTTGTATGCGCAGCCTAGATTTAAGCCTCCGTCTCTGTGCTACTCAGCCTCCTCTATATCATCGCTCTCCAACCACCAGCCTTTTCCCTCCTTTTGATCTCTCAAAGCTCCCAAAACCCTGATATCACCATCGCCATCAACTCCATCTGCCTCCCCATTCTCGTCTTCTCCGAGGACATTCCCACTAACACCTCCCGCACACCACGGAAGGGACGAAAAAAGCCTATGTGTTCGAGGCAGCTGCAGTTGAGCAATACCAGTGCGATCAACAGCGCGCAGCCAGCCACCTAACTCAAGCGCAACATCCGCATGCGTCCATCTTCCCGGTGCACGCTCGTCACTTGCCCCTCCGTGTCCCAACCAGGTCACGACATCGCCTACGCCTTCCAATGCATCCTGCTCCTTGTTACGCACATCAAACCATGAGGGCTTGCACACCTTCTGTCCCTTTCGTGGAACCGGTGTCGGGAGAGCATGAAGCGTGGACAGTGCAAGTGTCGGAAAGGCGTGTGGGGTGGTGGACGGAAGGTTCTGTGTTGGGGAGATTACAAGGGGGAAATATGATGATATTTGTACTCACACCACCGACACAGTCAACCCAACTAAGCCCTTCACAGACCCCGTCACATTGATCGACATCAGTGCAGAACATAGTATAATTTTCGTGAATGTACAATCCCAGGAGCGACGAGTCAATGGGCGAATCTGATGCAATCGTCTGCCAGCCAATTAAAAGTTCCTCAGCATACATTAGGATCATATTCAATGCAAGTCGTACCTCTAGGCAAACTCGACTCGCCTTCCGATCATGTTCCGAAAGCCAGTTTGGCAGAGGTGACGGGTCTAGGAGCGTTTCATCTAGCTCACGCTCCTTTGCGGCATCTCTGGTGGAGAGATGTGTTGCCGGAGGGTCTCCCTTGCCTGCATCTCGTGAGGTTGAACCAAAGTGGCGATAAAGCGAGTACTCACGTTTGTTATACAATATCTTTCCCATCAGATGAAATAGCACTAGACTCTGCTCTCTTCGCGTGACAACCTCCAAGACAGCCCGTGCACTTCCAGCCGCATTCCGTCGGGTCTTTCCCTTGCCACCACCCTTGGTCAACGTTACTACACACGCAAACTCCAGTGCCATCGCTGCACTCCTGATATCCCCGTTCGACGACTCGACAATCATCTCTACAACATCTTTGGCTGGTGGCTTTCCAGAAGTAGATGCAAAATGCTTAGTGAGCATCGCCTGCAGAGCCTTGTTCATCAGCGTCGGTGCAATAGGGTTGAAAGCAATGCGCGTGACATATGGGCTAGTGGAAAGATCAGCTCCAAGAAGACTTCTTATGTCTATAGTCTCTTTCTTGGACCAGCGCGCACCGCCTGCACCGTCCCACGTATCATCATTATAAGCATTCTCGCCGCGGAGACCTGAGTCGGATATGATGATCACAACTGGGGGTCCAGACTCAGAAGAGCTGCAGAGCGACTGCAAGGCATCGTGAAATCGCGCTTGCGTAGGAAGGTGTAGAATATTGGGCAGATCCTCCAGAAGGATCAAGTGACAGTTAGAAGGACGGCTCGAGGAAGTAGATGGGAGAGACGTGGATGACTGTGATGGAAATTTTGGCTGGGTGTGAGATTGTGGCTGCATCGACACGATTGCAGAGCTTGCCGCGAAAATATTACAACATGAGGAAGCTCTCGTGAGGAATGCTTGAAATTTGTCGAACAGTGCTTCCGTATCCATCCAAGAGTCATCTGGAAGGGAGAGTCAATGATCTCATACAAATAGTACATTGCGATGCTCATCACCCCCAAAATCGTCAACCAAAGTACTCGGGCCGCGTTCGCTCATACTATTGCGCCACTCGACGATTTCGAAACCCATTTCTCGAGCTAACACACGTAGTGTAGTGGTCTTTGCGGTACCAGCAGGCCCAGTAAGGACCAGAATCCGCTGTTAGGAGATACGCGGGATATGAGATATGACTGAGTAATGGATAAATCAAAAGGACAAGACATACGCGATATTTTCGCAGCTTCCCGGCCGATCCTCCTTCAAAAGCCTCCGAGAGCCATCGCCGTACATCCTCAACTTTACGCTTGTGCACTGCCAAATCGGCCTATGGGTGATACCCAACGAGAACAATTGCACCGACGTTCAGCTGGGCACAACCAGAGATGAACTGAGGCAGACCTCGATCGTTGGCTCATACTTGTCCACCCAAAGCCTATCATCGCCCCGATCAACTGGAGGCTTTCCCTTGCCCTTCACGTCCTTCCTTTGGATCTGCGGCTGCAGAAGTGAGGGTTGTTGCGACGACACGGGCGACTCCTGTCGTCGCGGCTGAGGTACAGATCTTATCAGATCAAACACAGGTAGTTTTGCAGACTGATATGACAGTGAGTGCAAGGATGATTTAGCTTGTTTTGACGCGTAGTATAAGACCGGGCAAAAACGCGTTCCCGAATTATGACAAACCTACAGTTCTCAGTTTCTTGTTCGGAGGTTCAGAGGACGCGTCGAGTTTCACGGTCTTGAGTTTTGCTTTCTTTCTGGACGCCTTGGAAGTAGAGCCAGAAGACGACTTGATAGTATGCATTTTCAAAGGAACAGCGGCTTTTTAGTAATAGTATGTAGTATGTACCTAACGGTCTAAAAAGCTTTAAGATTCAACAAGTACAAACAACCATTGCACAAGTAACTTGTTGTGCACAGAAGTATGGTGAATAATAGCCCGTCAAAGGGTGCATGGTCAAGCTCTTGGCAGTTTGTCTCTCCAATTTTTGAAACTATATCTGGATCCGTGGAAATCCACTTTCATCCGTGATTATACATTATTCGAGTAAGTACATGCAACGCAAAAGCCTGAGAGTAATGCACAACAAGCATGTACTATTTGCAATACAGCGGATCCACATCAACTGCTCCATGGGAGGGTTCCTCGACCACTGCTGCATTTTACTAAGGGCGAGTTCTCCTGACTGAATGACGAGCTTGACCTGCACGCACACAGGTAAAGAAGGTGTCCTCGTCGAGCCATCGCAACGTCCAGGTCAGGAGATAGGTTCGAACTCGAATGTCTGCCTGATACGCACCCGCTACCCAATCAATGACGAACTTATCGCTCGGCGCTCAAGATCAAAGCTCGCTGATCAGTCCAGACGACAAGTAAATTGCCTGTGGAATATAACGATTTGGAGCATGAGCACTAGCGGTGACCCAGAGCCTCGAGTAGATACGGTCTACCAGCCTGCGGAACAGTGGACCGAGACTGTACTGCGGACTGCTGCGGATGGCCTCTTATGCTGGCAGCCAACCCAGTCCTTACTAATGCGCAATGACCAATTTCTATCGCCCAATGCTTATTTTAGTACTAGTAGACGAGTCACATGTTCAGTTTTTGTTCGCCTCGGCTCCAGCGAGTCATGGATGAGTGATCATACGGATAACGGAACCAAAATCTTCTCATGATTTTGATGCCAGTCTAACGTTCTTATATTTCTCTGTTGGGCGCATACCCGTATCTTGTGCTTCACCTAACCGAATTTCCATTTCCTAGTAACTGGACGTCGGAAGTTGTGCTCCGAAGGTGTAGAACATTATGCCTCCATACCAGTTGCTTTTAGCAGAAGCACTCGTCGGGGCGGCAGCAATTAGTAGCCTCGCGCTCTTTTTTGCGCACTCTCAACAGCGGAAGATACGCTTGCCGACTACCCAAGATACTAGTCTGGTCGACGATGTGAACCAGGATGATCCTTTTAATGTGACCAAACCGGAAGATTTTATCGACGGAGAACCAATCGACGAAGATGCGTTTTGGTTCAAAGTGAGCATTATAATGGTTATAGGTCGCGTATCACGAAGGGTCTTATCTTGGTTTAGATGCGCAACAGGAAATTACTCCTTGTATTGCTTTCAGCCGCCATTCTTGTGCTTGAGGGCGTTTCCCTGGGTTGGTCGGCCTACCCAGATGCTCGGAATGTGCTTGCAGAACACATATTTCGGACCACGTTTGGACTCTACGTTGGCCTTCTAGTTCTTCGTTCCGTTGGACAATCCACCACGGATCGTCATTCCGAGTCGGTGATACATATCACTGCCTTGACCTTCTTCTCCTCGGTCCTTCACTTTGGCGTGGCAATCCTTCCTTCATCTGATTCCATCTCGTCCCACAATCTACAAGCTTTTCCTCCTTTACTTGCTTTCTGGTATAGCATGACCGCATTGTATACCTTGACTTTTGCGATAATTGCAACAACACCCTGTGGACCACCGTTACACTTTTTCCCTTCACTTATCTACTCCAAAAAAACCATCGACGACACGACCAATAAAGCGTACGACAACGTCTGCGGCCTTCCGGGCACTTCTGTAATCGATTATCTCTTTTTCCGTTACGTGACACGCGTCGTTCAGCTTGGAACTTCCGTTTCGGTCGAAATTGGCGACTTGCCAATCCTTCCGGCTACGATGCGAGCGACTTATCAGTTCTTTAGGATGCGCACGAATCTTCGTGCAAATCCTCTCAAGCCAGGATGGGACCTCGCTTGGCGCCTCATAAGTGTCAACAAGCTTGCATTTACTGCAGAGATACTCCTGGCCGTTGCAGCTGCTCCAATGTGGTTTGGGTCCCCGTTCTTCGTTCGCAAGCTCATCGCATACCTGGAAGATGATCCTGACCGCCTCGATCAAGGATGGGGATGGGTATACGCTTTGGGACAGTTTGCATCCCTTATTATCGTCACGCAACGTAAGTTTTTTCAGCGCAACACCCTCTAATTTGACGTTGACATGCTGCAGTCAACTCCCAAATGTGGTACTTCGCAACTTCCGTTATCCAAATGCGTTTGCGGACGCAGCTCAATACCATCCTTTTCGCAAAAACGCTAGTTCGGAAGGATGTTGTATCTTCTGGCACCTCCACATCCAATGAGAAAGATGATACAAAATCGACAACTACGAACGGAGAAGACAAAGAGAAGGGCGAGGAAGAGAACGAATTTTCGAGCAAATCCCAGGTCATGACTTTGATGACCACTGATGTTGATCGGGTCGCCGAGTTTTCTTATCATCTTTTCGCCATTGCAGGTGAGATTCTTTGATCATGTCATTGTTCTAGTTCTGATTTCTTTCAGATTCTCCGGTGGAAATTGTTGTAGGGACGTTGTTGCTCTACAGCATGCTTGGCGTCTCGTGCTTTATTGGTCTTGCGGTCATTTGCCTCTTTTTGCCATTGAATCACCTGGCAGGAAAAATAGTGATCAGTACACAGGACAACTTGATGAAAGCCAGGGACGAACGGGTCTCACTCATGAACGAGGTAACTACCTTGTGAAACACCTCTTGGCTTGACTTTAATGACACCTCTGACAGATACTGGGTGGGATACGCATGCTGAAGGTAATGATCCTTTGCACATAATCTTCTGAAATTCCCCCTCATCGATTTGCAGTTCATGGCATGGGAACGCAGCTTCGAAAAGCGCGTGATGAAGGTTCGCGAGAGAGAACTGAAATACCAAAAGTTGAACTACAAGATTGAGGTACGTGATTTTCCTTCTCTGTCATCCGACTCCTAATGTGTCCACCTTTCAGGTCGTGTTCGCTGCTCTCTGGTATGTTTTCATGCAGGTTTTCTCTGCCTTATCTAACGGAAAGCTTAGGGAAGCATCTCCTCTTATTGTCACCCTGGTTTCTTTCTGGCACTTCGCAGTTTGGCGTCAACAGGCATTGACACCCTCTATTGCCTTCACATCTGTAAGCCTTTCCTCATCAGTCCACTTGATGTTTACAAATTGAACACATTTGCTTAGATGATGGGTAGGCGTGAATGATCTGCATGGTACTTGAGCTAACAAGTCTGGCGTAGTTTTCAACGAAATGCGTTTTGCCATGAATGCACTCCCAGAAACTTTCATTAATCTGCTTCAGGTCCATGTTTCACTCATGCGGATCGGGAAGTACCTCCAACTAACCGAGGTAGCACCTGTACCTCCCCTCTCGGCTGCACCAGCCATCAACACTATCGCCGTTCAATCTGCTACCATCACATGGCCTCATGATCGTTCTGCAGATTCGTCGGCAGCTTCCACGCCCCGGCATAAATTTATGCTCGTTGATCTCGCTTTGAAATTCCCTGAAGGACAACTTTCACTCGTTTGTGGTAAGCTGGGCAGTGGAAAGACCCTGTTGTTATTGGGTACGTCTTTTAGAGCAGATTCTGGAATACTGCTCAATGTCACGACAATGCAGCTTTACTTGGCGAGGCGGACATCCTCACCGGTCAGGTCATTTGTCCGCATTCACCACCAGATGCGCTTGCTTCCTTCGCCGATCAGAAGGTCACACAGGAAGAGTGGGTAGTGCCCGGCGTTTGCGCCTACGTACCACAGGTGAGCGGCAGTGGTGGTGGGGTATGTCATGAATTGAAGAACTTGGTACTTCAAGGCTGCCTGGCTGCGAAATGCTTCTATTCAAGGTGAGCCGCGGACGTCCAACCATTTCAAGTACGCTTATCGCGATTTCCAGACAACATCCTGTTCGGTCTGCCACTTGACGAAGAGCGATATCATAAGACATTAGAGGTCAGCCATACTTCAAGGACAATAACAGCTCGACTAACTGTACCTTTAGATCTGTGCACTCATAAGCGATCTCAAGATCCTTGAGGACGGAGACCAATCCGAAATTGGCGAGCGTGGTGTATGTTGCGTTTTGCCACTTAGCATCATGTATACTGATCGAAGTTGCGCTGCCAGGTAAACTTGTCAGGCGGACAAAAAGCCCGAGGTCGGTGAACTGAAATTTAACTTGCCATACATACTGAATTTCCTTCAAGTTTCCTTGGCTCGTGCTGTTTACTCCCGAGCATCTGTACTGTTACTCGACGACGTTCTGTCTGCTGGTACGTCCGTTTCAAGCGCCGTGCTTCTAAATGCTAACTTTTGCGTGCAGTTGATGCTCACACCGCTCATCACATTTACTCCAAGTGCATTAAAGGAGAGTTGATGCATGGGCGAACGGTGATCCTTGTGTCACACCATGTCCAACTTTGCTTGAGCGGTGCTGCATATGTTGTCGCTCTTGATAACGGCCAAGTTCTATTCGCTGGTGAACGTGAAGCCTTTGAAGCTTCTCCTGTGAAAGGGACACTAGTGCAGACCATGGGTGGCGTTGGCAAGAAGCAGGGCACGGCAAGTACTTCGAAGAATCCATCGGTGCCTGGGAACCATTCTCCCGTTTCTACGCTCGTGCAAGATGATGTGGAACCTGACCCAATATCTGAGACGAGCTCCACCGTGATCAATGAACCGCAAGTAAATCTGGAGCGGAAAGCACCTAGGAAAGTTGTGGAAGACGAGAAACGCGCTGTGGGGCGCGTTAGTCGTGATGTCTGGAAGCTCTATGTAAAGTCGTGCGGCGCCTACGGGTACTGGGTATGGTTCTTGTCCATTCTCGTGTTGGGTGCTCTCTGTCCTGTTGCAGAGAACTGGTGGCTCAAGTATGTTCATAATGTTAGCAGTCTACTGTCGCATGATTGACATTGGCATCCATAGGACATGGTCGGGATCGAGCACAGAAGAGGCCGACACTAAGGGACCGGTGTATTACATTGTCATTTATGGTGCAGTAAGCACAGCTCTACAGTATTATCCCTCACCATGACTTATGTCCTTGCAGGTCACTCTCACAGGTTTGAATCAGTTGGCTTGTACCACACGGTGCTAAGTGTCTTTCAGGTGTTTTGATTTCGACTTACAGATACTTCGTACTGTGTATGCAAACTACACCCGCTCTCATGAACCCCTACTGAACCATTTCTCGTTCAGATAACGGCTCCATCCATGCGTCGACCGTTTTATACCAACGTGGGTCGAGGTCAAGACGTTACTTTTGACTACTTACTTACATTGCTCATGATAGAACTTCTGGAGACTGTGTTGTTTGCGCAAATTCGTTTCCACGATACTGTGTCGCGGGGGAGACTCCTGAATCGATTCGGGAAAGACTTCGAAGGTCCGTTTTCTAAGCCGATGCTTTCTTCGCCTATACAATGACACGTAACAATATAGGCGTTGACAGTCGACTCGCGGATCACTTTGGTCGAAGTCTCATCTTTGCATTTTCTTTCGTCGTCACGATTGTGTCTGTTACCTTTGCAGGCGGCATTCCATTCCTGATTGCTATCATTATCTTGGGCTTCATTTACTATGATGGTCTGCAACTTTTTTCTCGATCGATCACTCAGCACTGATTGTTGAACTTGTGTTTAGTTTCAAAGGTACTTTCTTGTCGTGTTCTTGCTTGAGGAAATGCTTAAAGTGCCTAGGACTATGGACAAGCTGCTAGAGATATGCGGCGCCTGGGTAAGTGTTCTTCATATTCAAGAGCGCTGGATTGAATTCAGTTACCTTAAGACTCCGTGGCACGGTCTCCCCTTTATTCGATCTATGGTGAAACCATTGCCGGAGCGCCCATCCTTCGAGCTTTCGGTGCTTCATCAAAGTTCATGCGAGACATGCTTCGCTACGTCGATACGGTGGGTCAAACAGAATTTGCTTTCACTTCATCTGATCAATGCCTACTAGAATATAAACCCGAACTATTGGCAATGGGCTGGTACGTCGAGCGGTCGTTTAACTGTCGAGAGTTGTTGACATTGGCTGATGTGTTTAGTCAATCGCTGGCTCTCCGCCCGGTTTGACCTTTTGTCCGCTGTGACCGTTGGTGTAACAGGTTGTATCGCCGTTTCCACTCCGACCATCTCAGCTGCGCTCGCTGGATTCGCTCTTTCATTTGCTGGAGGCATGACGTTCACAGTATGTGCCTGCTTATCATGGACTATGGAACGATATGCTGATACTGCCTGCAGTTGTTGTTCCTAGTAGGTGAACTGGTGTTTGTCTAGATTTCTTATTAATCTCGAACTCAGGTGCGACGGTTCGTCGGCCTTGAACAATCTATGGCTAGTACTTTAGCATACTGTGCGACGTGCGGTGTTATTGATGGACCTCTAACAGGTTGCCCTGGAGCGTATCAAGGAGTATTCAGAGCTTCAGCGCGAGCCTCCTGAATACATCGAGCCGCGTCCGCCGGCTTCCTGGCCAGATCGAGGTGGCGTCAAGTGCGAAAATTTGATTATCCGTTATGCGGTAAGCCGGTTTCAGTGGGAACCTCTCATCAGCTCATAACCTTTCCCATAGCCCGAGTTGCCCGATGTTCTTCACAACCTGAACTTCGAGGTCCACCCTGGGGAGAAGGTACTAGATAGTCGAAGACTCCCTTGTCAGCAACTGAGTTTTGTTCTTAGGTCGGCATCCTAGGCCGCACAGGTTCCGGAAAGAGCACCCTTGCACTCTCGTTCTTCCGCTTCGTGGAGGCAACAGAGGGTTGCATCACCATCGACGGTCTGGACATCTCCAAAATGGGACTTTCGGACCTTCGTAGCAAGCTTACTATCATTCCTCGTGCGTGTCCTGCCAAGTGATGATTATCATACTTACGACAAACAGAGGACCCTACTATCCTCAGCGGTACTGTGCGATCCACGCTGGATGTATTCGACGAGTATGGAGACGCAGAAATTGTCAGTTTATATTCACATTAGTCGACCGCAACGGTATACTGACTGTTCTTCAGTTTGAGGCTCTTCGACGTGTTCATTTGATTCCGTCTAATGCCGATGATATTGTCGAAATTGACGGTGTCGCGGTCAATGTTAATGTTTTCCGAAACCTAGAGTCACCAGTATCGGAAGGAGGGGAAAACTTTTCTACCGGGTTAGCGCTTTGTTAACGCCACCGAACAACCTTGCTCACGAATTTTCTAGCGAGAAACAGCTTCTTTGCATGGCTCGAGCAATCCTGAAACGCTCGAAAGTTTTGGTCATGGACGAGGTACGTTTTCTTGTCCTTCACCTACGTTTCACTCCTCAAGGCTATGTTGCAGGCAACAGCAAGGTAATATCGATCGTATGATAGAAGCTGGGATTTTAACTGACGTAACTTCAGCGTTGACTACGCGACTGACGAGCTCATCGGAAAGACGATCAGAGAGTTCGTTTTGCCACATTAATAATCCTCTCACGAGACATTGACCACGCCCAACAGAGAATTTGCAAACAGCACCATTCTCACCATCGCGCACCGACTGCGCACCGTTATCGATTATGATAGGGTATGAAAAATTCAGCTTATGTGGTTTGTGCATTACTTATGGACTGCCAGGTGATGCTCCTTGACCAAGGCAAAATCGTCGAGTTTGACCGGTAAGTCATCGCGAAATATATGGTGCAGAAAGTTAACTAAGACCTTCAGTCCCGCTGTGCTGCTTTGTGACCCCTCGTCGCAATTCTACGGGTTGTGCGAGGCAACGGGCGAGAATGAATTTGCGATGTTGAAGAATCTGGCTGGGGTGTGATTACGAAAGCGAATCACTGGGCATTTACCATACCATACAAATATCAGACAATGACATCTTGGACGTTACACATTAGAGTACCCTTTACAGGTTCTGAACGGACGTATCCAAAGGATTAGGAGCGCTCCGACGGTGACGTGAGGATTGATGTTGATATTATTTACAGTGGGCGATACCCCGGCATCTCGATCATCTCAAATGTTGAATTATGTTTGTCGTTCTGATGGATCCGAATGTGTCGATTCATTCGCAGGGATATCTGATTGCGTGGAATGAGACAAAGGGCAAACAACATACGATAGTATTCGTCAACAGTATATACCGTCAAATTCCGCTAAATTAATAGGGAGCAGCAGCAGCTTGGCACTGAAAATACAATCAGTCACAGAACTATGTTTGATTGAATGGATGCGCACAGCCTTCAACTGGTCAAGGTACCATGAGCAACTTGGCAGGTCTGCCTTGTCCAAACACTTGGTGAACTCCTTAGCTTGAACTTCACAAGCAGCGCCGGTTGTCTGGTATGCTTGTTGCTGCTGTACAGGTGCTGCTTGCTCCGCGGGTGCTGCAGATGAGCTGGAGCCAAACAGCATGGAGGAGATACCATGACCGATGGTAGATCCAACAGCGACGGAACCGGCAGTTGCGGCCATTTGTGCAAACATCCCAGGACCACTAGATGTCTGAGCGGGAACGGGTGGTGCGGGGGCGTGTGCTGGGTTACTGTGGGCTGCAGCAGGAGGCATTGCAGCCGTATGAGCACCGCGGGACTGCTGAGGAGCTGCAGCTGCGGGCTTAGCAGCTGGACGGGAGGAACGCGAAGAACGCTATGAGAGAGAAAAAATAAGCTCACGGTAAAAGACAATTAGTTGAGATGTCTTACAGGCATGATGATTGAGATGGTGGTTCAGAGCAAAGGTGCTTCGGGTAGAACTGGATGGAATTTTTGGCCGGCGAAGCAAACCTTTTATATCCATCTTCCCCGGCTCGAACACACGCGTCCCCGGCTGCCGAGTTTGTTCGCACGCATAGATTCCGGTGACATCCTTTTTGAGAAATTGACATCAAAATTCAAAGTCTTTACTCGAGCTCGCTGTGTTACACAACAAGTTCCAGCTGCAGGGGCGATGGTGATGGCAATGGTGAAGGTGCCGCGTGTCTCCTTTGGGTCCCAACTGAAGAGGAGGTGTTTACTCTATCCACAACGCTCGTTCTCGGCCTTAAAATCCGCTACCCGAACAGCTACTCCCCCTTCAACGTCCAAGGCTTCTACCACGAGTGGACAAGCGTCTGCCACAACGTCGTCTAATGCATCAAGAAAATCTCCAATTAAGAATGAGAAGAAAGCGAAAAAGGCACTCACTGCTACAGACAGCACGGAGGCGCAGCTCAAACAAATAGAGAGCATGATGAACATGGCAAACACGTCGAACCTGTTTCCAACCATGGATATGTGGGGTACTAAGTTAGTGACTCTCGGTGTGTGTATTCTTTATAGAAGGATAACTCAGACTCAGTTTATCACCCATCCAGACGTAGAAATACCACGCGACGCTTCACTGCGTATGCTTTTCACAAACCCAGGCGCGTTTTGGCATGCAAAACAGCACAATTTCTCCAATTGGTTGAAGAACACGTTCAGGTTCGCGTCCAATGTTTCATGCATCTTTTATCCCTTTCATCCTCATTGTGCAGCATGTATACCATCGCCAAAGCTCGAGCTTTTACGGGAATAAATCATGATTTTCGATTTAGTCACTTATTCCTACCACGCACATGGCGTCAACTGGGCAGCGTAACCTCACATTCTTCAGCATCCTGGTTAGCACCAATACGACGCATTGCAATGGATAACTATCTGGCTATAGGCCGTGCCATAGCTGAGTGAGTATAATTTTTGCTGACCCCAATTATATTTAATTATATCAACAGCAAGGATGAAGCCACTCTGAAGGCGCTGACAACAGCCGACCATGCCACCAAGGTGAACAAGATTGTTCGCACTCGTAAACCTGGCGAAGTTTGGCAATGGAAGGTTCTAAGCGATGTTTCAGACACAGCCCTATTCCAAGAGAAAAGCTGTAAGTATCGACGTTACACTCTCCATTTTTTGGGGGTTCACAATAATACAGTATTCCGTCCACTTGCAATATCACCAGGAGCTACCATCGTATCCATCCGTTCCGGTGAGGTTTATGTTGCGAAGGAACCCCCGAAGCGCGGCAACCGACTAGTGATACATGCACTAGTCAAGTTCGAGACTGCGCAGGTGAGTGTTCTTCCAGCACACGTAAATTGTCTACGAACTGACGCTGCTCCAGGAACTCAAGGTGTTTACCAAGCAGGGCCAGCCAGTTGATGCTAAATCTACAGAACCTCATAATGTCGTGGAATATCTCGTGCTCGAGAAAGTGGGTTGGTATGACAATACGTGGCAGGTGCGGGACCAGATCTACAAGTAAACGGGTGCTGGATGACGGATGTAATGGGAGTTTGTGATTAGATCTCTGTCAGATTTCATTTGCGGATTTGCGAGATAACTATGTAGCGGTCGTGTGACGGGCTACGAAAAGTGCGAATTACCATAGTCATTTTCAATAAGGAGAAAATAATTGTAAGTACCATATAGACCCCAAATATTTACAGTCGTGGATGTATCGGATACATAATCCTAGGCGCTCAGCGCTGCAGCACTCGGTCCGGTTTGATGGTGTCACGTGAATATTAGCGCGAGAGTTAACGTTAGGCGCTTCAATGATCTGCACAGTCAGCGCTGCAGCGCTCAACTTGCTGTTCAGCCTGAGAAACTCACAACATGTACTATGTCTTTGACATGCTGCACAGACGACATGAACCAGAATCGCGAGAGTTGCCAATAATCGAGGTCTCGTGCACAGTTTATCGATATCACTGGCCCCTTGTTCGCGCAGAGAAATTATCACGCCAGAAACTTCATTTCGCCCTCCCAAATTCATATCACTCAGCAACCTAGCGCAACAACTCAGGGCGCACCATCATCATCGCAACTACGATCTCCACCTCCACCTGCTACTACTTAGACACTTTCCACCGTCACTGGTATCGCTGGGCAATGGAAACAATCTCGCGTCCTCGTACAACCGTAAGAGATTCTGGATGGCGCGCTTGTTTCATGGCCTAGGTTTGCTGCATGACTATTCAGTACACCAACAGTCAACATTAGGAAGCGACTTTTTGGGCGGTCCAACCATAAATAGTGGCCTTGTGGCTGACCCAGAACTTCACAAGTTCGCATGATAGGTCTTATGAACGCAATGTCGACCAACCTTTCAACAACTTCCCTTTTCAAATTCGCAAACTTTGCGGACAGTCGCAATGCGGCGGGCTTCCCAAGAATGCTGATACAATGCTCAAGGTTTCTGTAGTTGCCAAAGGTCAGGAGCTCAGTGTACAGGTGAACTCATTCAAGCTATGAGTTGGCAGCGGATAATCAACATGGTCATGAAAGCGCAAGATTTTAGAGAATGGCCCTAGAGTTACTGCCATCGAGTACTCTGCTGTATTACAGACCTGTTCGTTACATAGATCTGATTTAATGGCACTCGCACAATTCAGAAGGCGCACATTGAAATGTTCACTAGTGATGTAGCCAAGCTGGACGCCGACCCCTCGACAGACTGAGGAGCCTGACTGTTATTCGGTATACCCTTGACCAGTCCGCCTGGGTTCGAATCTAGATAGTACTACATAGTGCCAAGTGTTATCTTACTGTAAATTATCAGCCTTGGGAACATGTGTTCAAAACACGTGTGAATCGTGTGCCGGTCCATTTGATCTCCACGGTGACTCCACCCTGCAGCTGCACTTGCTTTGCAGTACTGCAATACCAGTGCTTGATGTACACGCACCCTCAAGCCTCAAGGCCTCAAGGCTCAATTGAACACGCTGATTGCGACATGTGCTGCGGTGTGTGTTACTACGTGTACATATACATGAAGGCTGCTGCATCATGGATCAGATCGATCACGAACTTGTTACCTAAGTGACTCAGTGAATCGAATCACATACTCAGTAGGTTTATATGCCTTGCGATGTGTGAGTAAACCGTGACAGTCGTCTATTCTAGTACTATCATACTGCGATGCAGTCACGGTGGCTCTCTACTCTGACATCAACGCTGCGACCAGTTACTTCTGGCGGCGTTGAAGTATTCATTCCTCTGACGAAAGTCTCACTGACTCGGAGACAGGCCCGCCGGGTTTGTTGCACTCTTATCCTACGACGAACATTGCATTTTAACCTAGGACAAGGATGGGGAGTAGTGAGAAAATGTGAGTACAGTCAATATTAGTACTGTCTTTACTAGACTGATGTCAGAAATGATTGACAGCACTTTTCGATAAGCCGTCGCAAGTTGCGGGCGCGTTATATGATAAATTCGATCACCCAGTCATTCGTCAAGGCACTGCAACGGTCGGCAGCCTGACGAAAAAACTTGGATCGTTGCCTACTTCAGCACACATGCTGTACGGTGGTTCGCACTTTCCAAATGCTGGAAAGTTTTGTTGGGACAAGGCTGCTGGTTTCGGTTCAGATATCCAGGGGTGTACAGACAAATTCTTCCAGCATGCCAGGGAATTCTGTCCCTCTGACAAGATGGCAGAATTGAGGGAGTCTGTGGACAGCGTCGCCAGCACAGCCACGACGCTGTATCAAGTCGTCAAAGAAGCCGCAGAACAATGTGGCATTCCTCTCTACACTATATCGAATAACCTTGTAAACACCTTCAGTGTCCTATTTGAAGAGCTCAAAGAACAGTTTCCACCACCTGGTGAAGCTTCTGGTCATGAGAAGCGCATGACCATGATGAACACGGTTCTTGATCATTTTGAGGAGTGTTTTCTGCAGGTTGTTGGCGAGCTCGGAGTGAGCGAGGAACTCCTTAAAAGTCTCACAGGTTCTCTCAAAACTGGTCTTAAACATATGCTTGTGACCATCGGTGTGTCACGATCAAACGACCGTTCGTTGACAACCTGATATCAAATGATGATACAGGAGACATCGACGAGCAGCATCCAAATCTCGTACGGGCCCTCTTGCGTATCATGATTAGCATGCTATCTACCAATGGCCCGGAGTCTCTTCTCACGATTCTCCGCACAGTTGGGTTTGGGCCTTCGGGACCAATGAAGGGTACGATTTTGTATAGTTGCAACACATCACAATATTTATAACGTTCTTAGGTGGAATTGCTGCGTGGTTGCAAGGGTGGTCGTCTGGCCCCGCCGTGCCAAATGGCGACTGGTTTGCGATGCTTCAGCACCTTGCCATGATGAGAAGAGCGCAACTGTAGAACTAGTGTGAGGATTCCCTGCCCGTAGTCTAGAGGGCAGAGAACCAATATCACCTTACTAACAACATGGTTTACCTGTCTGATTTCCAAGGCGAGTGCCCGACCACTCACCTGACTGCCACCCACAGCTAACCGACTGTACTTGGCATAGGTTCTGGTAACCTCCTTACCGACTGTCAAGTCTTAACTGGGTCGTGAGTCCACGCTAGTACTACTTAGCCTTGGACTGTCATACTAACGCAAGCATCCAGGGCTTTTACCCTTTACTACCTAGAGTTTCAGTACTCAGCACTACCATCCTTACTGTATATCTTTGCCGACGATCGTTCTTGTTTCAGTTCCCTCGCGCTGAGGTGATTCTTGTAGTACAAATCCTGCTTAACTTGTTCGATCAAAAAATAACTTTACATTCGTCAATTTGTTATCAAGGGATACAATAGATACCAAGTGGTGATAGAGAAGAAACCACGATCCACCCAATGGGAATTCACTGTCAAACAGCCAGCGATGAAAAGCGAACATTGCAGTATACCTTGGTGGTGGTAGTACCACGATGAGGCACGACGAGGCCAGTGCAGTCTGGTGGGGATGTGGTGTTGAAGCCAGAGACATTGATGCGAAATAGGAGACGGCGTGTCTGACATTCTCGTTGGCGTGATGTAGATGTCAGTGAGTCAAAGAGAGGGAAGATGAACGCAGATGAGCGCCAACACACGATACCAGCACCGATTGGCAACACATGCAAACAAATGTGCGAGGAAGCTGGGCGATGGTGCATAAGTTGAGGGTGAGAGGAGTGGCACATCGCATACACGCCTCATAAACGAACACTTTGCAGGTAGTTTATCATACTACTATCATCCATTGTCCAGGCGACTTGTTACAACCTTTTCCTTTCAGAACACTACTAGGGACTTCTCTATATCCCATCCCATATTCTGCAGTCCGGGCTTGACGGCATGTGTTATCATAGCATCAGGACCGCACGCTAGGATGAGTCCATGCTCAGAGTGGCGAGGCATGTGCTCCGACAGCAACACATCATTAATTCGCCCAACGCTGTACGGCCACTCCTCAGGAGCGACACTAAGCGTGTAGTGCAGCTTAAAACGCCCCCTGCCATGTAATGCAAAGAGTGTGTCAAGTTCTTCTCTACAGAGGATGTCCTGCTCTGTCTTGTTCGCACTGATCACCCACACTCGGGTCTCGCTTTCCGCGTTTTGGAAGATACTGCAAAGCACCTGGAGGATCGGTGTTATCCCTGCACAACTTTATTTAGTATTGCACGTTTACGATGTTGCATTCGAAGTCATACCACTTCCACCGCAAATCATGCCGACTTCTTTGATGGTCTTCCTTATCCCGTTCCACAATGCAGTGCTTGGCCCGTCCCAAATGAAGGACCCTAACGGCCCCTTGAGCTCCACGCTATCTCCGATACGTAATTGATGGAAGCCAGTGGTCATCTTCCCTCCAGTGGGGATTGACGCGGAAGGAAGATACAATCTAATGAAGACTTCAGTGCGAAGAGCATATCCTGATGAAGAATATGAACTTGATGAGAAAGTCGATGAAGCCTACTGCGTCTTGTTGCGATACCGGAGTATAAGCCCTCTGTACCATCTCCCCGGTATCCTGTCGGCGTAAGCGAACGAAAACATGTTGTCCAACTGGCAGACCTAGCGGCTGGTCTCCTTTTGGCAAGGCGAAACGATACAGGTAAGAATCGTGGTTGATCTGCTTGATGGCACACAATTCAATATCCTTCCATCGGCTGCGCTCTAGAAAGGTTCCATCGGACTGCGTTGTTATGGGCCTTTCTCTGGTTAAACTGGTTACAAGGGTACCAATGTGGTGCTGTAAAACGGCCCATAAACCAACGTTCTACTGCAAAATCACGAGGACTTACCTCAGCCAATTTTTGTTTGCCTTCTGCAGAATGTATGGCGAAGAAGTCTTCGGACGCATCTTCGCCAGCTACAAGCAATATAGAGTCCCCGCCTCCTGGGTGGTCCTTTAGAAATGGAGTTCCATCGTAAACCTCACCGTTGATGACAAACCACGGTTGCTGTCGATCTTGCGCCCTGAACTCTTCCAGAGTAATTTTCCGATTCATGCCAGGCTTGGTCAAGCAGACCTTATCTGATTCGTGCTTTGGAGCACGTGGTGCGAGATCCTGTCCTTTTTCGCCGGAGACAGGCTTTGTAATATCCTCCCCTACCGCTTTCATGCGCTGATTTCTACCATCAGGATTTGTTTCTGGGACCAAAGATTAAGCATCACCTCCATCCATCCTCCATTCGCTGTCCCAGCGAGTGTTGGATGTTCAAATTGCAAGACGATTTTCCCGTCATCGTTGATGGTTCTATGAACGGCAATGCGAAACCACCTGCCAGCAGCTCGCAACAGGGCGCAGAATATCAGGTTTATCAAGACGTACCAGTTGTTCATCATGCCAAGTGCATGCCAATACCTGGGAACAGTTGATGTTAATGAACCCGCACAGTACGGTCCTGCCTTACATGTCTCTTTGTTGGAACGCGAGGCCTTCATCCATAGCTCTAACCATCAACACATCACAGCTCGCTAGAATGTCATGCGAGACATCAAATGTCCAGAAGCACCAACAGCTAGATGGGATCTGAACATTTTTCATTGCAGCGGTAATGGTTGCTGCTCACAAGGACGTATCGCGCTCTGATGCGTCAAGAGTTCCATAAAATGGGTCTTGGTGACGCACTTCTCTGAATCGGTCCTCAGGATACTCACTTTTTGACACGATATCAATGAGGTATCGATTCTGAAGCGTGTAGACGTACATGTTTCCCAATGTCCATGTCTCCCCTTGGTCAAGCGAAACCTCGACGCGGGTCACCCTGCGACCTCCACCTGCATACGCATATCCTCGTATAGGATATGATGCGATTGTGCCATTCTCATCCGGCGTCTTATTGATGTAGAGATTTTCATTATGATCCGGTTTCGCGATGACGCTATTGACGTTAAGCTCCCTGAAGACTCTTGTTCAACATGTGGTACATAAGAGAGCAAGATTAAACCAACGTGATGATGTATCTGAGATATCCTCGATCTGGTGAGTAACTTGCTGAGGAACGCCAGAGCACTCGAACTAACCTTGGGTCATACCACCAATGCTTCTCAGCGCGGGCTTGGTCAGGCATAACCTGCGCTGGTAACATTTTGTTGTCCTATGCAACATTAGTGCAATTCATCCTCGAGGATAAAGTGATCTACGCATACCCAAAAGTGCAACTGCATGAACAAAACCATCAGTCGACGCTTATTTGAGTTGTACAAGAACTGGCATACGTGGTGCTGGCTTTCGCGACTACTTATTTCGATGCGTCTCAGCCACTAAGTGGTATCTAATTGACTATGGGTTCATTGTCATCGGGAAACACCTTACTTTAACAGACCGTCCACCGATCTGACCCGGCACAATGATGCGCACGGGAAAACCATGGTCTGGTTCCAACGGTAAACCATTCATTGCCCGGGCTAATGTAGAAGGTCAGGAAGAATCGTAACACTGTAAATGATTCGAGTTACCAAGAGCATACCCTTGTCCTTATTGGAAGCCCATGACAGTCGCTGCGATGTTCCATAGGGCCCGTTCGGAAGCTTGTCTCCGCCTTCAAAGACAACGTATTTGGCTTGTCTACAAATTGGTCTCACGTAATTCAATACGTCGGCCAGATATACGCCTGTCCAAAGGGCTGTTGATACTTGATATTGATGTTGGTGAGGACTTGTTTGAATTAACACGAGTTGAAACCTCACCTCCCGCTGCTCCCCAGCTGAAGCCAAGTGTCTTGCGGATGACATTCTGTTCTTTCCGCCTGTTGCCGGCGCATACAAGGGTTACAGGAATGCTAACAACGGGAAACTTTTCTCGGAGCTCTTGTAGAGTGAATGTAACCTCTCGTTCCACCAGACCATGCACATGGATTGTCCAGTTAGCAGCTATCTCGTGGTTGACCTGTGGCACTGCACCATGATTCCGCACGAAATGCAGGCGAGGTGGAGTGAAGAATCCCTGTAAAGACGCTCTCAGTCCCGTGCAAAACATCGGAAACAAGATACCTACACACTCAAATAGATCATTGAGTCGCGCTTCAGAGTTAAACGGATGTTTTCCCGTCAATCGTACGAGTTCTGGATTCTGAGCGCAGAGGACTCAAAAATCACACAGATATCATTGATTTACTGTCCTTACACGATTGACCCAGTTATCTGGCGTGTCAAGATCCTGGTGAATGTAAATGTCAAATTAACGTTGTGCGCTGAAATATTCAGCACAACCTGCTGAGCTACTTCTGTTGGGGTAGCATTGATTGGGAGCTGTGGGAGGCACTGGGGAAGTTGGGGACCATTCCTTTCGGGCCCGTCGAGGAATGAGGGAAAGAACGCTACAGGTAGACCATCCTGAAGTTTCTGGTTGGTGAGGTCCGGGGAGCGTACCAAGGACATGAAAGCAATAGACGGAGTGGTAGCAGGTGATCGAATGCACTAGGTGAGTCGGCGGATGAACTTGAAGTCCTTGAGAATTGTGGGGTGACAGTCAAATATTGGGTCGCCACTAGCACTGCTCGGCGTTCGATAATACTAACCATCTCTCAAGTCACGCGGGGAATTTATCTCGTTATTGTCATGGTCCTTTCAAGTGTTCGGCCAGAAACTGATTTAGTTCTGTCAACTGATAAGCTGTTATCGATTAGCACGCATGGAACTTACGGAAGACTGAAGTTGAATCCCTTGGAAAGTTTCGCAGTGCCTGCGGCTTGGCGGACGTAACTAAATTTTGGACATCAAAGAAGTGACCAGAGCAGGTGCCTGGGGTCCTACGATGAAACATAACATCTCAATACAGTTCATATCGGACTTCCCCTTATTGATAGTACCATTCAACAGTCCCGCCTGTTGCGATATTCAATGGGCGCATGAAGTACACCAGAGTGGCAAGCTCATTCGAGGCTCATATTGGTCACCTTGATCGTAGCTATGTCCGATGTCACCTCTCGCAGCGCACGACTAATATCGACTGACAATATTGTGGTACCATAGTGATGTACTAGCTGGCACTAGACCATTGTCTTCATGCCCGTGCTGAGCGCTGATTCCTCGTAGTGATGCGTTACTCGGCACCTTCCGCTAGCAACCCTTACCCCGGTCATTAGCACGACGGCTTTCTCATCTTTTCAAATGGCTATGAGTCAGGATTATTCGACCAATTCCATTCCTCCACTGATGTGCAACATATATCAGACCCAGTGCACTCAGCACTGCTGCAATCGTATCAGCTATCTTGGGATATCTCATGCGCGGGACCCGCAACTGTAAGCACCTATGTAGCAGCTAGAAGCGGTGAGGGAAACAATGAAATCTGGCATATTGTAAGGACGCGGCGATTTCGA